GGTTATCGAGGATGCTCTATCGATTGATGGGTATATGTAGGGGTCCCCGCCAATCCCATCACTGAGAAACAGAATCCCGCCATTTGATTGGTCAAAAAATAGACCAATCAGATTTCAGGAGCCTTTTTTCTCTTATTGTAAGGACAACACATAGCCATGTTCGGGCCAATCATAGGGTTATCGAGGATGCTCTATCGATTGATGGATATATGTATGGGCTCCTACTCAGTGCAACACGGCGAAAATAAAGCTTTGGCATTTGGCCTCGGGGACCCAAGGGTGCCCCCAATAACAGGACTTAAGGGCCTAACGGTACCCCCAAAGTATAGGACTTGAGGACCTAAAGTATCCCTATAGTATGGCATGACACAAACACTTGAACTTTAAAGAAAAAGTTAAAGTTAAAGTGCTAAAATTTTTACTTCAAATTAAAGTTTAAAGTTTTAAAGCGTTTTATTTTAAACTTTAATTAAAGTTTAAAGTTTTAAAATTTTTCACTTTAATTAAAGTTTAAAGTTTAAAGTGTTTCACTTTAACTTTAAACTTTAAAGTTTAAAGTGCCACTTTAACTTTAACTTTTAAAGTAAAGTTAAAGTGCCACCCCTAATCATGAATGGGCCAATGATCAAAATAGTCGGTGTTCTAGGGCATGAAATAGGTCATGCCTATGGAATGAAAGAGGGAGGTGGTGCGTACCGCTTTCAAGCAATGATAGAGAATATGTACAAACAACGGTTCTGGGAATACGAAGATATTGAACTATAGTCACGCTCGTACCAATACCAGTATGCACTAGAATATGTAAAAGATAAATTTTGCTTTTCTTTTTCCAATAACACAATATCTTTCTCTGTGTGTCTTTTGCATTTCTTTTCCTTATCAATTGTAGTCTTTTCTTTTCCTGCTACACTTTTTTTCTCTTTCTCTATATATGCGTAGTCGTCTTTTGAAAACAGAAGTTTGTTATGTATTATACAAAGTAGCCTAATATCTATCGCAGGATAATACATGCTTCCTTCTTCTGTTTGACCTTCTTTTTTTTCTATTAAGAACGATAAACATAGTTATACATATGCGTTGTATTACCACATATTTATATATATATGCCATACTATTTATTTCCTCTTTCGCTTCTCACAAGTTGTCTTCGTCCAAAAATACTCTATATGAATATATATTTGAACTGTTTGGTAAACTTTTACTCATGTAAACTTATGCAATTTACTGTACAGCTTTGATAGTGGCTTTAGAACGATTGATGTTAGTGGTAAGTTTACTGTTTGCGAATACATAGTTGAAAATGAATCTTATGAGAAAAAACAGATTGATAAATCAATATTAAAATATTCTCAAATTTCATAAAAATTATCGTATAAAATGTTTGTTAATATCGTGTTATTCTCAATATATAGATCCCCTTCGTCTAAGTAAACTTTTTATACTTGTATTGTTCTTGATCTTACTATTTACTACATTCTTTGTTTCCATTCCGTTCATTTTGAAGAAGTAACATATATCGTAAAATTCGTGTTTACGAACAACGATCCAATCTATAGTTCATTCTGAATCGATATTCGGACTCTTACAATAAGCAAGATATTGAAGTAATATTGGCTAAACATTTAGAAACATTAGGATAGGCATTTTCATCATTGAATTCGTAATTGTAACTCTGTGTCATCCACATTCAGGAATATCTTGTGGCACAAATAACATCACACACCAAGCGTTATGTTCAAATCTGAATACATCACATAAAACATACATTGTTTGTGTAGCAGATTTTTTTAGGGATTTTTTTTCAACGTAGAGCTTGCGTGCTATGTTAAATCATGTAAACCGAAAAACAGGGGAATAATACGCGTCATAAATTAAAAAGCATTTCAAGCCGTGTGATTTATTATAAAAAATTTTGTTCAAGAAACTGATTTTTAAAATGCCTTAGGTATTTCATAAATGTGTATCGAAGTGAAATCTATATAGTAAAAACAAGGTCGAGTTGATAAATGAATAACAGGAAGCGCTTAGAAATTGTTGAGAAAAGTTTAGCAACATGTTTTCTTATTGACTTGTATTTCACTGAGTAATAAAATAATTTTTAATGAACAATAAATTTAGTGAATAAGCAATAATTATATTGAATGTACGATAATTATATGCAATGAGCGATGATTCATTTAAATGAAAAACAAATTTTATGTAAAAAGGACACTATTGATTTATTTATCCACACAAATAGGAACTTTTTCAATTTTGTGAAATTCTTTTTTTGTCGCCAAAATATGAAATTACTAATACTATTTGATAACGGGTTTTGTTTTTAGTATTGCACAATTTGTTCAAATAAACTTTTCTTATTACTCAAAATTTATTGCTAAACTAGCAAGAGAAGTATATGAACTGAACTAAAGCTCGTAGGAAAATTATATGAAGAGGCTGACAGGGATATTTAGTAAATAAAAGTTAAACAATAACAACTCAAGATGAAAATATCTTGCATAAAACGTGCGGCGTACTCCAGACATAGTTTATATGTGGAACATCACACATCGCAACCATACAATGCGTTCCTACACGATACGGAAGACTTCGAAATGGAAAATTTCATTACAACAAGAGTATATAGTAATGACGAGGGCTTATGACTTCTACGAACTGAGTATTGAGGTGGAAGTGAAAGGAAAAGCTATATTATTCTATAGCCACAAATTTCGTATTCTACGCACAAGGGTTAAATATTCGATTTTTTCATGACTAAAATCCAATTTAATACGCGGTGAGTAAAATGGTTTATGATTTTTTGTGATAAGACTTATTAGTTCATCTCATCCAAAAAGGAACCTTTTGTTCGATAGTGAAGAGCAAATTTCAAATTGTTCAAAAATCAACAACTTTAATCTGTTCTTCTTTCTGTTAAATGATTAAGGCTTTAACTAAGGGCATACCAAAAGTAGTGGTGTCAATATTTTACTTCTTTAATAGAAAGCTTGAATTTTTTTCTTTATTTGTGTAGTGATAGAGAAAATGATGCTCTATTTTTCTGCGCTATTGGATCATTCTTTAGCTAATATCATGGTAATTAAATTTCGATAAGAACTGTTTTTGTGTACGACTTCACTAAAATGTCAGGTAGATTATATAACTACACTTCGGATTTTTTGCAATTCAGTCCTCAACAACTTATAACGCTGTATTATAAACAAAAATATACCAACAGACGAAACGTGAAAAGCTCTATAATTTTTAAAGAATAGCTTATTTTTATATCTCAGATAAGACACAAGAAATTTCTGTTTTTATGGAAAAACAGAAATTTCTCGAGAAAGTCGGAGAGAATTCTGCGTTCTTGGAAAGAACTATCTATTTAAAACGATCGATCTCATATAAATTGTATAATTTTTCACAGTGCTTCTGTTTCCTAAAATGTGTAGGCAGAAAAACTATCCCGAAAAACCTTTTCTATAAATATTTGATTTCTATTGGCTGCTGCTCAACCAAAAGAATTTGGGGCGAACACAGCTCACATTTGAAATTTTAACCTTCACTTACCCTTAAACAGTCGTTTCTCTTATAACTTAATTTGTATTGATTACTGCTGAGATCAATGGCAGCTCGGGGAAAGTGGAGTATAGATTTGAGTTCTTCGCTCTAGAAAATCTCGAAGCATCATCTCTGGAATTGGAAGATAGAGTTCTAATTGTTAATCAATGAAACCGTGGAGAACAACTGAACCTATTTCCGTTTTATTATCTTTGCGATATGAACGACTCATCCTTCTTGTTTCTTTGTATTTTATACAGCATTTTGTAGCTCGTGAAATTTTCTATCGAATGGTGGATAATGATTGGGATTTTATTTAACTGAGATAGGAAAAGCTTTTTAAGAAAGTGGGGAGAGGTCGATCTTCGCATAGAGAAAAACGAATATTTTTGCAATAACTCAGCAATGGTTCGGCCAGCTCTTCACATCTCCGAACTCGATCGAGATATTTTTAGGATAATATTATGTAAAAAATTTCTTCGCGATCAACCTCTCCTTTCAAAAGTTATACTATAAACGGCCGACCAGACGCACTGAATGATTCTAGAGTGTACTCACTTTTTGAATAAACAAAAAAGCTAAAAGCAATTTTCTAATAATAGCAGCGTTTGCATAAGAATTCAAGCGATGGAACGAGAAGTTCAAGAACTCGAGATGGCCGATAGATCTCAAATCTTGTCTGAGGATGTTTATATTTTTCATGCGCATGCCTCAAGAAGTATGTTCCAGCTGAAGACAACGCTATGTCGCTTAGAATTTTCTCCTAAAACTGATATCTCCATAGGTAATAAGTTATAAGTCCGAACTGTTTTCAAAGTGTTAGTGTCTGATCTAAACCTTCATGATTGACATAGTTTTGAATTAAGAACGATAAATCGCTTAGTCACATTTCCTCGAAAGTGCTTTTGCTATGTAGAACAAACCTGCAAAATTATTCTCACCAACTGTGTTCACATAATGAACTATTAAGATCATGTACAAATAGACGTCATAAATTCCTATAGTGTTTAGTAAATCATTAACTTTTATACACTAAACAAAATCGAATATGAATGCCTGCATCAGTATTTGCATTATGTGGTATATCTCTGTCTTCTGTTTCAGATAAGAAATGGCTTGCCACTACGTCCAAAGCACTGCCATTTTTATAGTACTATTAACATTGCTCTTCCAGTCAATAACTTTCGCCTGTTCATGTTCGAAAAGAATCACTTCGTTACAGAAAGATTTCGAAGTAACTGATTATATTCTCATTGGTACTGTGACAAATACAACAATAACTTGGAGAAACAATGACACGGAAGCTAGCCGCGACGTTCAAATTCATACTGATGAAGTTTTTAAGCAGCCATCAATATCGAATAATCAGTTAATTACTATATATACGCCCAAAGATCGATCAGGATGTGGTCTTAAAATGAAAGTGAATGAACGATGGCAAGTTTGGGCTACATATACAAGTATGTTTTCAGATGATAATACGCGTCGTTGGCTAACAGTTGACAGTTGTGGACGTACTACCAAAATCTATAATCGCTATAGTAGTCATTTGCGTCGATTGTCTAATATGACAACAATTGAACAAAAACGTAAATATTAAATAATTTCGTTTCTATACGAAGCAAATATTTTAATGAACGTTCAATTCAAAAAATTGTTTGCTTCATCTCACTTCATTATATTCTGCATGGTTTTATTGTGTTTATTTCGTATGTTATTTACTAGTGAACAATTCATTATGTTTTGTTCTAGAAAAAAAATCTGACAAATGAGTATTAATTATTACGTGAAAAGTTTGGTTGATCACCAGACTACCAAAAAATTTGGAATATTTGCATCGAACGGCTTTAGATTCAGTGAAACAAAGTTCATTCGGTAGTTTTATTACAGAATGCTTTTCCAAGAAGAATCCATGGGATCCTATCTACTTGAATCGAAGAACTACTTTCTCATTTGTCTAGATCTCCGAAGATTTTGGGATTGTAAAGCAATGAGGATCATCGGAAAGAAGTCATTTTAATTCAAACATAGAATTAAAAGACAGTTGCTCCTAAATTGTTGTAATAGACACCACGTCATGTTATATTCTAATACAATTTAGCGGTGTCATCATAAAGGCTGTTTCCATCTTGCTGATATACTACCAGGCTATTTCAATAATGTGACATGCGCAAGTAGCACTCGTTAGTCAGTCTCGTCTCATCGCCCAATGAAGTTGAATGATAACATGGAATGTATTTTGTCCGTTCGTTGTATTGTTCATTTTGATTCTGTTTTATTACAACTTGGTGAATCAAATTAAGTAACTTCAAGATGTATTATTAGTGTTGAAGCAGATATCTAGTTCATCTTCAGTTTAGTTCTTATTTTAATTTATTTCATTAGCAGAAAGCTTTAAACTAAGGACAAGTTATGTCCTTTATTCGCTCCCTAAGAATTGAGAACGTCGAGATGGATATCAGTCTACTCTTAAATAGTACTCACACCCACAAGTGAATAAATTAAATCAGAATTTATGACATAACAACATAGGTTTTTAATTAATTTTTACTTGACAGAAAATTACTGAGATAATATGTGCTTCTATCTCAGTGCTAGAATGAGATAGAGTCAGGCAATCTTCTCAGCCCTGTTAAGAGAATTTTTAATTGGAACAAACGAAAATTTAGAATGTTGACAACGAATATTTTTATACACGATGGAGCACATGGCTGCATTAGTGTTAGTGTGTGTCCTTTCATGTCCACAACCACACCACACTCTAGGAAGAAATTTGAGAGTATATGTGTATTTTGGAGATTTGACGCCGGTCTCTAATTTCAATATAGAAAGATACAACTCGATAGACAAAAGAATTAGGATTATATTTATCATTAGTTGTCATCATATGAAATGTCGTGCGATCCAACAATCATGAAACTTCTTCTCAAGCTGACTACAATTGATCATTTACAAAACTGAAACATGGGATCTGTTTCAAAGTTTGAAGAAATCTAATCACGTACACAACTAGGAGAGGATTTAAAATTCGTCTAAAATCTTTAAAGTCGTTCTTAGGTTCTTGTAACACTTGTTTTTAGTATGTAGGCTCTGGTTCCATTAACAATTTCAAAAGTGCATCTTATTTAAATCATGAAATATAAAGCGCTAAGATTGTTCAAAACGTAAAGTTCCACAGATATTCGATGAGTTATGAAATTTGAAGGGTCTTAGATTTTGAAATGAAAATTCTAGGATATGGATGTAGGCAAGTAGGAGTGTAGATCTTGTTTTTGTCTGTACCCTCACCCATATCTATTGCGGGTGTTGGTGTTGATACTCATTACAAGTACACGCTCACCACACAGCTACATTCACACCTGCCTCATGTTTATTTCTGTACAGACTAACCTAAAAAAGATTCACATACCATTGATTATGTTAGTTTTAGATATTGAGAAAGTTCATCACGTTTATAAACGGCAGCGTTAGTGAAGGGGTTAACATAATATAGATAACATTTGATCAAAAAACATTTCTGTTTGTACTTTCATGCACATAAATGGATACACTAGAAAGAAGAGAAAAATCTGACATATATACATAATAAGAACAGAACAGGAAAAAAAGAATTCTTAGAACATTCCACAACACTAATGTAAGTATATAGTTTTGTAAAGAAAGAAAGAGATACATCAAGGTTAAATCTGTAATAGCTATCTTCGGTACTCAAACATTGGCATTGATGTGTCAATTTCTTCATCGTCTTCTTTATCCCAAAAATGAGGATCACCGCAGTCACGATAGTTATGTAAATTTTTTACATATACATCAAGTATATTGCTACTAAGAGCATCATATGTAGCATATGATTGAGGATCTTTTCTTAGTCCTTGACGAATAGCTCTTTCGCATGGTAAAATCTGATTTATATCAGAATAAATGAGCATAGGATAAAGACCATCGATACACCATCTTTCTGTATAATTTGATAATTCTACCACAAAAACGTATTTATCAGCAAGATTACGAAGTAGACGACCGTCGCAGGTTTGAACATCTCCACGTGTTGGATCAAATAATTTTAAGTTGTTTTGACATTGTCTTGTAAGACGAGTTCTATTATCTCGTATGAAATTGTGACAATCATCTGTTCCCATAATGATGTGATAAGCATTTCGCATATCGAACAAGTAAACTCTTTGTTGAGGACAGCATGTCCAAAAAGTTTTAAGCATATTATTATGTTTACGATAAATATCTCGAGAATTAAATAAAGAACGAAGTGGGTCTAATATTTGTTTGATTCGATACATATCACTATTTATTTTGTTTCTCAATACAATTTTATGGCGATTAAGTGAGTTATGTTGTAAAGAAGTCGATGGTAATTTATTGGTGGATAATGTTAATACATTAATCAATATTACAAGAAGTGAAATAAAATAATATGATACCATCGCAATTGTTCAATTGAAATAATATGTTGGAGAAAAAATGGATATGTTCTATTATGAGATGTGTAGAGTATATATGAAGCTAGCGATATATGTTATGTATAATCAGATAGAAAGTAAAAGGTTGACTGATATTTGTTCCGTTCTCTTCTATGAGAATTTTTTTCCTTTTCTTTCTCTCTTCTACGCGGAATAACATATCAAAGAGCTATTTGCAACGACTTGATGATCAGAAAGACGATTGATATTATGCTATTATATTTCGATTATTGATATTCTCATTTGATACTTCGTCTCTTGCAAACATGTCATATTTAGCAGAAAAGTGTACATCTCAATAGATTCTATTCCATAATAGTTTAGAATGATAGATCAACCATAGAAATTAGAAAAACGTATCATACCCATTACAGACAGACCCTCATCACAGACACTCTCCATTACAGACCTTAGCAATTAAGAATAAGTGGCACGAGACTTTCTAGTTTTTTTTGAAAAATTGATCAAGTTAGAATTTTGAAAGGTAATTCAGATGATTGCTTGTGAGATGATTAATATATATAATAGTTGGTAAGATCTTCTGTAGATATAATGGGTATGTAAAAGAGATTTATTTGCCAATTAAATCAATGGTTATAATAATAAGAATGTCGGATTACGAAAAACGAAAAAAAAATGAACGGTAATGAGCGAATAGCAACAATCCAAAAGAAAAATAGGGCGCCTGTAGAAAAAAAAATTTCTGTTCGAAATGTAGAAATTAGAAAGGTTCTTACTCTGATTTTCGATTATGTTACAAAACAATTAGTCTACGAGAGATTTCTCATTTTCCTTATTTTGTATTAGTTTAACGAGGCGTCGAGAGCATATGTGAGTTCCACATTTCAGCTCTAAGGGGCTGTGCTAACAAGCTTTTATTCATCATATCCATTTTGAATATATCAAGAGAAAATGTCTCGTATAAGTTATTTGATACAATTAATATTGATTATAAAAACTAATAGGTACAATGAGAAACAGTCTTCTAAAACCAAAAAAATTTCGTTTGGCACATCTCATAACATTTTGAATAAGAGAAGCTTCTAGAAGGTAATATTTCTATGGTGGATTTGCGTGCAATGCAAAGGTAAAGCATCAATAGTAAGTATGCAAGTGCAGTGTTTTTTCTGTCTCTCGCTTTATTCAACTATAAGTGTTGAAGTATTGTCTATTTTATAATTATATGGAAATGATAATGTGTTATTTTAGGTGTTATGTGACACATAAAAACAATGCAAAGGGTAAACTGAGTATCTTAAGAGGAGTTGCAATATTTGGGTGACAAGACTGCTTAAGAGTCTTATCAGATGTTGAAAATAGTGTTGGAGGAGATTATATTAAACTTCTCTACCATTTTTTTGTTTTAGTTTCAGTTTTTTTATTTGATAGATATTTATAAAACCTTGTCGATAACAATGCTTTTTAATACCTTGAACTTGTTTGCAAACGTTATGATAGATAATAGTAGTTTGAATCATCACCTTGGTAAGGTATACACATATAAAGATATTTAAATGATAATATACTCTTATCGCGTACACTGACTTTTATGCGACTAATGTTCATAATATACATTTTGATCATATACAGGTAAAAAAAAAACGAATGTCAATTTTAATGGTTCATTCATATATGCATTTCAATTGTTTTATGTTTAAACTCTCAATTTGTCTATGATTGATAAGTTGACGAAAATGTGTTATTGAGAATAGAAAGTAATAGCATTCTTGGTCAAATTCCAGATTAGCAAAAAGAATAAGAAGAATCTTTCACTAAGTTACTTCGACCTATGTTGAACTGTTTTAGAATAATTCCTTCGTATAGTGTGAAATAGTGTACTCAAAACTCTGTTTACTGTTTAAGCGAGTTGATACAATTTAAACATTTAGATAGTTTACAGATTGATTACTTGGAGTAAATCAAATTCTATTTTATCATTCTTATAGTTTTCTACCATTATTTTTTGCCAAAATTTGAGTGTATACACTGTGAAATACATTCGACAAAGGTTATTTTCACTAAAAAAAGTAAAAAGAGACATTTCTGTTAATTTTAACGTGTGATTAATGCAATTGATGCTTTATTTTCGTCTGAACAATAGTTTCTTGTAGTTTTTCATGATTTGAGATTGAATTTGTATTTTAGATCCGCTATCTATTAGTATCTACATATTTTTACAGTGAATAGATAAATAAATTTCAGTTGCTGGAACTCTTTCCTATATAGTAATAAGAACATTTATGAAACTAATATATTTATTGATATTATTTTATCTGATGACAATCAACTTACTTGTATATGCAAATGACGATCGTATTGCTGATCTTGTATTTGAACCAGATTTACTTTGGAAAAATCAAAATGTGACTCTATCATTTGTGAATGGTGATCAAGAAAAACAGTTACATTTTCGTTGCATATATTTTCAATGGTTTTTATCTACTCATATTCACTTCAAAGAAGTTCCGCTTAGTCACAGTGCTGATATTCGAGTAGGATTCGGCCTAGATAAACAACAATCATGGTCTCTTATTGGATCTAATTCAGCTTTTTTTTCGTATAATGTCAAATCTGGTAAAATATTTCGTGACCATCAGAAAACCAACTATCCATCTCTGGTTGTCGCATTCAACACTCAACATGAGATATTGCATGAAGGAGGACATTCTATTGGATTCAATCATGAACATTTTCATGCCATGGCAAATATATCGTGGAAGAAAAGTTTTGTGGATGGATCGATGAGTCCGCATTTGTCTCTCGACTTCATTAAGAAAAATTATCTTAGAAAATATCCTTCAAACAAAAGTTTAGGGAGATTTGATAGGTAAGTTATAATACATTGTATATCCTCTCTAGATTGATTTCAAAAACATTTATGTTAATCATGACAATGCTACGTATTACATTTTTTATTCTATAAATAATAGATCAAATCTTTCTTAGCTATTAAGAATGTTTGCCTCTTCGAAATACCTATTCTAATATAATATTTACTGCACGTTAGTCAATGGCGTCTATTTTAAGATAAGAATTTTATTTATAGATTGAAATGTTAGTCAAAAGATTTGATGTTTCCTCTCTTTTTGGAACGGCTTTTTAAAGAATTTTGTCGAATGTTTCGATTGCTCTTAGATGTTACTTTACAGAAAGAACCGTATTTCTCATATGTATAGCTGAGTTATTTATTTTACTTCAGCAGAAAATATCATATTTGTATATTTCTACATTGTCAAGAACAAGGAGATGCCATTTTTAGACTATTCTTTCTCTAACTAACAGTATAAACAATGGTCTATTCATGCAAGTGCTCTCTCAATATAAACGTATAGCAATGTGATCACATCAGTCAACAAGCGACTCTTTTATGAGATATTGATTATTCTATTGAAGATAAACTCCCTCCCATATTAGAAATCGCGTCCAGACGGGACAACGTGAAGGATGTATTAGAAGCCCCCTTATATTAAAATCTTTTTGAGAAGTTTTCTCGATATTTTCATCTGAAAACTTTCAAAATTCAAGATCTTAAGGTGAGAATTTGTTTCATTTCCTCATTTATCAGCATAAAAATCTTGAAATCTCCTAGAAAATCGTTTGAATAGTCCTAAAAATCTCCGAAGTTCTTTGAAATCTTTTGTCATCTAAAACTATTGAAAAATTTTAGGACTTAATAGAAGCATCCTCCGAAATTTTGGATGATGGACAAATTAGAAGCCGTCGAGGGTTTTTGAACGGGGTTTAGTACGTCTGTATTATTGCGAATTCAGCTAAAAAATTGATCCGTTTTTCATAATAATATCTAGTGAATTTTGTTCAGTGATAATTGCATTTCTATGTCATATATTCGAGTATATCTAAATTTAGTTTATTTATTTACTGATAATGCTTCTTTTGTCAAATAAAGTCTTCTGTATTCTAGTAAGAGCATCATGCTTTATAAGATCGATCCATCACGTACTAACAACAATTTTTCGACTAAGGCAAACGAAAAAATATCTTCGAATGATCAATATTATGCAGCACAGTTATATATGAATTTTATAGACAAAGATTATGAACATTGTCACAAAAATATATCTTGCGAAGACAAAAACTATCTTGAAAAAGTTCAATGTTATAATACTTGGTACAAATATTGTATGGCATTTGTTCGAGATTCTCAGTCATGCGAAATTTATAAAAATTCAAAAACAGAATACTCATATTATCTTTGGGTAAAGAACGAAAGTGAAATATTTCCATGTGAAAATACGAAGAAGAGTCTTTATCATAGATCGGGTATCAGAATCGCTTCGTGGCTTTTTACTGCTATTACTGTAAAGAATGCACAAAGATTTTGATTAAAACAAAGGTGCATTCTACTATTATTCTACCAATCGAGAATATGCCTTTCTAAAACTAACCTTAATATATAATTGTTGTCTGATATTATCGTTTAATGAAATCTGTAGATTTTGCTTACTCAGTTTCCAAATTCGAAAAATTATTTATCAGATTGTTAATATAGCAAAAAACAAATTCTCATCTGACGTCATTTGTAGTGTGTTTCTAATTTTTAGGTCTTGATACGACGACCATCCTCATATGTCTGCTGATATTTACGGCCTGTTGCGCTCTATTGTTATTCACCAAAAATCGGTATGTTATTCTATTCTATTGTTGCTGATTGCGCAAATGAAGGTCATATAGATTTCAAATATTCAAAAATGATCATCGTCTATAACATCTTGTAGACATTGTTGAAAAACGAGCAGACATATTTTAGATAAATAATTTTGATTTGTGGTAGTAATTATCTTTCAAACGACAATCAATTCTAATAGGACTGTTCTTCGGCATAACTTTCATTAATCTTTTAGTTCAGTTTCTTATGCACAAAGGAAACATCTATATTTGACTTATAAAAAGACGCTTTCAATAATAAAATCATCTGAGAAAAAGGAATGCATGAAAAGACTAAAGAATCGACAAAGATTTTTTTATCTGTTTTATTTCTTATGAAGAATAGTAAGTGTAGTATGGTATTAATATCTTCATTCTGAGGTTAATATATTGACTTATAAGTGATCATATACGATATGCAACATTTATGGATAATGGTTTTATGAAGTTTAGTGCATATGATTTCTTTTTTTAAAACTATTAAAATTTTTGTTTAGTCGTATGGAATATGCGACAAGATCAATGTTAGCTGAAGAACAATTCATCGAACCATAATTACTTCTACTATTTAAGTTGACTTTCTACTTGATGAATAATAAACATACGATGCAAAAGTAATGGTACAAAATGTTGGTCTTTACAATTTTTCGTAGGCACGGTTCTGGAAGGAAATTTTTTTTATCAGTCGATTGAAAATTTTCTCCTCTTTCAACCTATATGTAAGTTATTTTTATCAGACACTCTTAGGCAGAATGCCATGAAAAAAAAGAGAGGCACCCTTAGGCATACACCTAACCCAAACTGTTTGGGTTTCGTGAGTTTGGGTATTGAGTTTGGATTTGGGTTTGGGTATGGGTATTCAGTGTGAGTTTCTGTTTCACTTTTGCTATATTAACTCATTCAATTATGGGTCTTAAAATATAATGCCATTTATGTCAAGTCTCTTCTCTATATTTAGCTATTTATTACATATAGATATGAGTAAAAGCATATTTTTATGCTTCACATTGTTAACAAGCGAAATAAGCCCATTCTCAATCCTGAGAAGACAGCTTGAAAAGTGAATATTTTTGACTGATTTATCCGCGATCGGATTGATGGAATATCGATATCACAATCATCAACTGAAGAAGCAGTCGTCCGATTTTCTGTCGTAGTTAAACATTGGTTTTCAGTACCAAGAACCCAAAATCGTGCCTTATTTCTCTCGAAACTACACTGATAGATCAAGAGCTGACAGAAATTAACATTTTGAAGAGGTAGCTTCCGTAAGGTAGTTTGCTATTCGATAATTCACTGACTATGCAGCAGTGTCAGATATTCAGGAAATCGGGAATACAGGAGATATCGCATCTATTATAGATGCCGAGTCTCCAGAGGAAATGTATTTGGAGATGCAGTATCTCTCAGCATCTCGCAATAAAGTTTTGTTTTAATTTTTGGGTGTGGGTGTGGGGTGTGAAGAGTTACCACAATACATATAGTATTTTGAATTTACAAGAATTCTTATCAAGTAGCAAGTATTTCTATAGATGATTCAAAAATGAGTAAAATTTTGAATCAAATAGTACATATTCTAAAAATTTTTCAACGCGAAGGAAGAAAAATACAACAACTAAAGGGTGTGAAGAGTTACCACAATACATATAGTATTTCGAATTTACAAGAAGGGTGTGGGTGTGTTTTTCACAGAAAAAAGATTGAAAGCATAATACGACGCGTTTCGACCTTGCTTAAGGGTCATCATCTCGTATATTTTGAATCTAAAAGAATGGTGGATGTGGATAGTTGTTGAGTTGCTAAAGAAATGTTGATGTTGAAGGAATTTTGTTTTATATAATTTAAATTGGAGTATGTGGATGAATTTGCTTTGATGGTTGAAATCGTATAGTTTTTGCTGAATTGTTTGGAAGCCTTGAAAGTTGCTATATGAATTGGTATTTGTGAAGATGACGTGACCGGTGGCTGTCATAGCAGTTCGGGTATCGGCGTGACCATGTGAGCTGTGACAGGAACGTTTTTTTGGATGGTTGGTGTTTGTGTGTGGTTGTCAGTAATGGGCGAGGCATGTGGTGTGTGCCTGTCGGTTTATATTATTTTATGAATTGAGGTTTATCTAGTAGAGTGAAATGTTAACTTTGTAATAGTTTTGTGATTTTTCTGAGACAATGTTTTATGATTTAGATAAAGTATAGAAGTTGCAGTAGAGCAATATTTATTTTGAGTAATTTGAAGAAAGGGATACAATGTTGTTACTTTTTCAGAAAGAAAAATGTTTGTTTTCGGTATGATTTGTTGTAGTGATCGGTTGTATGCGGAGATTGGTGGATATTTGTCTTTTTTCTATGCGTGTCAGCATTGCTTTTGAAGGTTTCTTGTGGATAAAGAATGTTTCTAGTGTCGAATTTGTACTTGTTACTAGTCGAACTTTAACATTTTTCACAGTTGATGCGTCATGTGCTTAATATGTTCGCCACCATTTCTTAAATTTTGTTCGGAAGTTGGTTGACTTAGAACTGTCGAAGAGATAATGTGGATATATTATTTTTGGATCCCATATCTTCTGTTGCAATACTGTTGGTGATCGAATTGGGTCTTGTGTCATAAGATGTAGCTGTTTTTCACGTCGTGTTAGTTGATACAACAATTGTTGATATAGTCGATGATAAACTTGATCATTCAATTCGTTTACAATAGGCATGGCATTGTTCAGTTGGAAGAATCGATAGATTTGTTTTTTGATGAAATTTGTTGGACAATTATTTAATAATAGGGACATATCAATACGAATACATTCTGTGTTGAAGTCCTGTACGTCAGAACAAATACGAGCAGCACGTAGTAGAGCAGCATATGGTATATTACGATGAATATGTCGTGGATGATCGGATGTGTATGGCAATATATAAGGTTCAGTACACTCTAAAAAAAAAAGGTTTTTTACCGAACCTAAAAAGGATCTTATCCTCGGTACACGGTAAGATCCTTTTTTGGTTTCGTAAAAAACGGGGTTTCGTAACAAACCATCTTTGGAAAGCTGGAATAAAGATTTCGTACAAAAGGTTTCGTACTGAACCTTTTTACCAAACTAAAAATAGGGTTCTGCGGACAAGGTTCCGTACCGAACCTATACAAGAAACAGAAAAAAAGGTTCCGTACAGATAGTTTTCTGCTAAACCTTTACTACAAATTAAAACGAAAGGTTTCGTACATAATGATTCGCAGTAAACCTGTTTTTAATCGCCCAGCTAGTCATTCATTTAGTTTAAACTTGAACCAGCTGATGACTATGGCATGTGAATCAATCTATAATATACTCTAGATTGATTCAAATTCCATAGTCATCAGTAGGTTCGATTTTAAACTAAATGAATGACTGGCTGGACGATTACAAACAGGTTTAATGCGAATCAATCTATAATAGAAAAATAAATAGATTTATTTTATTTTATAAAATCAAACTTACTCTTGATTTTGATGTTTGAAACAATCTATAATAGAAAGATTAATATAAGTTATTTTCTATATATTAAACTTACCTGTTCCATGTGTGAGTCAACCTATAATAGAAAAATAAATAGATTTATTTTATTTTATAAAATCAAACTTATTCTTGTTTTTGAGGTTTCAATCAACCTATAATAGAAAACTTAATATAAGTTATTTAATATATAATAAACTTACCTATCCCATATGTGAGTCAATTTATAACAGAAAAATAAATAGACTTATTTTATTTTATTTTATAAAATCAAACTTACTTTTTTTTTTTGAGGCTTCAATCAACCTATAATAGAAAACTTAATATAAGCTATTTACTATATATTAAACTTATGTATCCCATGTGTGAGTCAGCCTATAATAGAAAAATAAATAGATTTATTTTATTTTATAAAATCAAACTTACTCTTGATTTTGATGTTTGAATCAACCTATAATAGAAAACTTAATATAAGTTGTTTACTATATAATAAACTTACCTATCCAATATTTGAGTCAATCTATAATAGAAAAATAAATAGATTTATTTTATTTTATAAAACTAACCTTACTCTTGATTTTGATGTTTGAATCAATCTAAAATAGAACAAAAATTAATTTAATTTATAAAATCAAACTTACTCATGACCTTCTTGCTTTTGGGAATCTATAATATACGATTAAGCGAAATAAAAAAATAGAATTTTTTTTGAAACATTACACTCACTGCTCAAGTCATTCAATACACTTTATAGATTCTATCAAAAATTAATCGGATCCTCTATCAGATTCCCCTGAAAGCCAGCCTCTTTGAAGTAAATACCTGCTGGATGCCTATTTTAGACGTTACTCATGGAATACTCGAAATATGCTGAATCATATCAAAAAGCTCGCAAAACCACCTAAAATCATCATATTTGACAGTGCCAGCAACCAAAATTATGATTAAACTAATTAATTAAATAGGTCAATTGTTATTTATCAAAGTTCTAGCCTATTAAGACATTTTGAATAGCGCAGATAATTGCCCAAAATAAAAGAACGGATATATCAAGACATTTATTCTTGAACTGCGTTTCAATGACGATGGTGCTTCGATTGAGTCAGTTGTATATATATAGCTGCAGTCGCAAAACAAAACGATGAATGAATAGTCAGCACAGACTATCTATGATATTTAAGGCTACCTCGGGATACTATATATAACTTTTGGAGGGCCATTACAGAATGCTGTCTATAACTTTTTGAGCGCTACCTGAGGGTACTCTCTGTAACTATTCGAGGTCTATCTCGAAGTACCATCTATAATTTTTTTGAGGGCTACCTGACGGTACTCTCTGTAATTTTTTGAGGCCTATATCGGAGTATCACCTACAACTTTTTGAGAGCTGCCTAAAGGTACTATCTGTACCTTTTTGAGGGATAGCTGGGGTGCCATCTGTAACTTTTTGAGGGCTATGTGAGAGCGCTCTCTGTAACTTTTTACAGATTATCTCGGAGTACTATCTGTAGCTTTTTGAGTGGTACCTAACGGCACCATCTGTAACTTTTTGAGGGCTACCTAATAGTACTATCTGTAACTTTTTCAGGGCTATCTCAGAGTTCCATGTGTAACTTTCTGAGGGCTACCTGAGGGTACTATCTGTAACTTTTGAAGGGCTATCGTGGAGTATCATCTAGAACTTTTTGAGGGCTACTTGAGGGTACTATCTGTGACTATTGAAGGGCTATCTTGGAGTATCATCTAGAACTTTTTGAGAGTTACCTAAGGATATTATATGTGACTTTTTCAGGACTATCTCAGGATACCGCGTATAACTTTTTGACGGCTACCTAATGATATTATCTGTAACTTTTTCAGGAGTGTCGTGAGTCATAGATGGAGCTGGCACCGGTTACCGGTCGGTCTGGTACTGGTCTAGATTTCGAATCGATCGGTCTACTGGTCAACCGATCCAGATCAGTATTTGCCTGACTGACCGGTCTGAATTTTCCACTCTCCTGCTCTATGACTGTATCCATAGAAAAAAAACAAGTGGAATCATGGCTAATCCCACTGCTCACGCAAAAATTAGTTTAACAAATAGTTTAGACCATACTCAATGAAACTACTGTTGTCAATAGTGAAACATTATGCCAGTATGCGGCAACATACCAGCATAACTCACAACACTTCACTATGGAACAAAATTTTATTTTAAGGTTCGAGCTGTTGTCTGTAGATCGGCACTTACTAAGGGACTAACGTATCACCAGTATCCCGTTTATTACCGGTATACCAGTTTTTTACCGGTAGATCGGTATCAGCCAGTAGACCGGTATATGCCGGTAGACCGGTTTTTTACCGATAGACCGATCAAACCGGTGTACCGGCTGGTCCGACCCGGTCTGAAAAAAACTAGACCAGTTCCATCTATGTCTCAAGGTACTATCTGTAGCTTTTTAGAACTATCTCGAAGTACTATCTGTAGTCTTTTGAGAGCTACCTGGGGTACCATCTGGGGGTACCATCTGTAACTTTTTGAGCGCTATCTCGAAGTACTGCTCTATACATGTTTAAGGGCTATTTGAATATATTGCATGCTTTCCTTTTCTTTTGCTATTAGGCAATGTACTCACTTGACGCTCGATCAGTAATGTAGCGATACTATTATCTTTAATACGAATATCAAATACAATTGGAAGTATTAGTATTCGTATTGGGTCTACACTGGGCCAGAATTAGATGAGATCAGTTACCCTTACATTATCAAGTAACAAGAAAAACTTGGAAATTTAATATTATCATTAGAGGGATACACTTGTTCTGAAGTAACGATGTTCTATAAAGTTTAAGCAAAGACTCTCGGTGCCGAAGGATCCACATCTCTCTAAGGCAGTTTCCTGAAAAAAGTAAACTCACAAACTTCGAAAAACCAATCAGAGCTTCGGATTCATCAACCTCGAAGGTCTTGGACCAAACTTTATAGAAAAATCGTTATTTTCGAAAAACTTTCTCTCCTTAATGAAAATGTGAAACTCGCAATTTTTCCATAACACTGGGTAACGTAACAATAATTGGCCTCGTTTAATTTTGATCCAGTGTCCAATAAATATCAATACTACCAATACCGTATTGATATTATTACATTTCTGGTCTCGATACTATATTAATTATTTTCTCAATATATTAAGTAAACTTCGTCCTTTTCCTATCTATATTCTGATTGCCTGACATTTTAATTTTTCCACTCTGATTTGTTTCGGAGAAGGATGTATATACATTTGTTCCTGATCCGTTTCTCATTATTTCGATTTTCGGTAATAAGTCCTGACGGTTTTACATTCTACTACTGGAAATATAAGGATTTTCAAGTAGGTTAAGCACTGGAACTAACGCTGGACCATTCACGGTTAGGGAAAAAAAACTAAACGCTTATAAGTGTACAGGAATATACATGGGTTCGTACGAAGTACACGGAAACTATTAGCACTTAATGGAATCATGCAAGGTTTTACAGAGAAACTGCAAAACCCTATAACAGACTACGAAACTATCAGCAGGTTCGTGTAAAATATACAAAACCATTAAATATCTAATATAGTGATGAGTAGTTCTGTATAAATAATATAAAACCCTTCAATACTGTACCGAACTATTGATCGTTTCGCAGAGAAAAGACGGAACCGCCCGAAACTCTGCAAAAGGCATGAATGGTTTAGCTGATAATGTACGAAACCATCAAAGATTAGGTTCATGATGTGAGAAACTACGAACGGATCTACGGAATCCGCAGAAGGTTTCGCGCAAAAATTGCGAAACCCTATGAATTCTGCTGAACTTAAAAAAAGTTCCGTACGAAAAGTACGAAATGATTTTGATTTTACTTAATCTAAAATCATTCGGAGCAAAAATACGAAACTTTTACAGTTCGGTAATAAACCTATTTTTTTAGAGTGTGATTTCGTACGAAGCATACGGAACCTATTAGCACTTAAAGTAATCATAGAGGATCTCATACTAAAATTGCGAAACCTTAGATTAGTCTACAAAACTACCAACTGTATCGTGTGAAATATACGGAACCTTCTGATGCCCTGCGAATCTATTGACCGTTCAGTATAAAATATACTAAACCTTCAGATGACCTACGAAACTATCGACCGTTCCGTATAAAATACACTAAACCTTTAGATGACCTACGAAGCTATCGACCGTTCTGTATAAAATATACTAAACCTTTAGATGACCTACGAAACTATCTACCGTTCAGTATAAAATACACTAAACCTTTAGATGACCTGCGAAACTATCAATCGTTTCGTATAAGATTTACGAAACCCACATAGGATTTCGTTGAAGACTTGCTAAACCCTGTGAAATCTGCGGAACTTAAAAAAGTTCTGAACAAAAATCTCGAAACGATTTTCATTTCACTGAACCTAAAATCGTTCGGTAGAAAAAAGCGGAACTTTTAAAGTTCAGTAATAAACCGATTTTTTTTAGAGTGCAGTTGGTTTACGATAAAGAGATGTTTTTAATTGACCATTTTCATTCATTATAGTAACATCCAAAAAATTAACTCATGTATCAATTTCATAGTGAATTTTAATATTAATATCTTTATTGGCAGCTTCTTCGAGTTCTGTTTTAATTTCATCTATGATTCGGTTAGTTGTCATGAATATATCATCGATGTATCTACAAAAGATATATATCAGTTTAGTTAACCTTTTTCATTTAGTAAGTGTTTAACAAACCTTCCATACATTGCTTTGTGTACTGTTTGGTGTTTGATTAGATCTTGCTCCCATTCAAACATATAGATATTAGCCAATACTTGTGTAAATGCTGAGCCCATAGCACCGCCACGAGTTTGTTGATAATATTTGTTGTTATAAGCAAAACAATTAGTATCTAATATTAAACGAGCCATTCTCATAATAGCATCAATGGATAATGTACCAACTTTTCCATGATGTGAATTCTTTTCTAAAAATCGCATCAATGCATGTAATGCACCTTCTCGAGGTATCATTGTCTAAAGATCAGTCACGTCAATTATAATAAATTTTGTTGTTGTCTGGAAATGACCATCCAAAATGTATTTTTCCAGTTTTCGTATCACATCAATGCCATTAATAAATGTTATTTCACGAGCAACATTCAAATATATAGGTACTAATAGATCGTTCAAAAATTTCGATACTAATGTTGCTGGTGCATGTATACAGGCAATAATAGGTCGTAATCGTGTACCAGGCTAGGCAAAAGCAATAAAAAAGATTATAAATTATGTCTATATTGATCTAAACTATGTTTACTTTATGTGGTTTCGGTAGGCCATGATAATGACCAAGTTCCAATTTGTTTAATCTTGGAGATATTTTACTATATTGTTGGAAGCTGAGAGCTTTCTGTGTTACAAGACTAGAGAGTAATGTTTGTACAGCATATAACATATCTGATAGAGGACAACGACCACTTGTAATTTCTTGATAAGCTTTTGTTTTTAACATATATTCTTCGGATTTTCGCGCAAAATCAGTTGCTTTACCAATATAAAATACTTTACTTTTATCTGTACGACGTATAACAATATCTGACCGATCACGTAAAAGATGTCGAATACTTTGTACGATTTTGTATTCATGTTTTGCACGTTTTTCTAATTTTCTGGATAGGTTTTTTTGATTGTAATTCATGTAGGATACATTGTAATGCTTGAAATGCTTCTTTTGCTGATTTATTTGCAGTTGGTATTCGATGATCTTGAAGACAGTTTTTTACAATTGATGATAAACTTTGATACTGTTCAGATACAAGTTGTTCGATAGATTTAGAAGAAAATTGACTTTGACATGGTATAACATATTTGAGACCATTATTAAACATAGACATTTCTTGTGGACTTAAATTTAAATCGACTTCAATAAATGGTAATGAAGCAGTAATTGTAGTATAAACAGACATGTTGCTCCGACGACTACGATACTGCTTCATTTGTTTAAAGTCGTCGGAGCTTCATCGAAAAAAGTATGCAATTTATGTTTAAGATATAATTCATGATGTTTTTCCATTGTTTGTCGACGATTTTCAATTGCTTGAATCAATAATTCACTGCAACACGGTGCCAATTTATTTTGTAAATCCAAAAGTAGTTGTTGATGACCACGTATTATGTTTTGAATAGTATCAAGATTTAAAGTCATTAAATCAAATTTATATTGTGTAATTGTTTTTGAATAACTTGATATTAAACTAGCACGTCGATCTTTATCAAGAACTTGGTTTGAAAGCATCGGTTGAACATAGTCCATGGATCGATTAATCGTTTTATCATATGCACTTGGTAATCGTCGTAAGAAAATTCTTTTACGAATGATTTCTTCTTGTGCTTTTGTTTTTAATATACTTGCTATTGTTTGCCATATTTGTTTTGCTAGTTGTATCTAAAGTTGAAAAGAATATACAAGTGGAAACATTCAATATGCTGTTTAAACAAACCTGTTCTTCAGTTGGTTGTAATTGATAAAATTTTGTGATTAAATGACGATCATTTGAATCTAATATTAACATTTTCTTTTTATAATCAAATTCTTGTCTTAATCGTTGTTAACCTTTTTTAACACATTCATTAATTGCATGTGATAAAATATTTGAATCAAAGGATGGTTGGCATCGTTGTGCATTTTGTTCTAATTTTATTAAATATTGTTGTAATTCGTTGATTGTTCGTTTTAATTGATGTTGAATTGTTTTTTGACGTTTTTCAATTGTGTCTAGGGAAACCATAATTACAACATGTATTATGTTGTGTAGCATCATATTTTGATATGTTTGGTGCCCAAATGCCACCTTCTTTCATACTAAGATTAAAATAATCTTGCCATAAATGTCGTTGTAAATCTATATACTGTAAATGATTTGTTACTTCAGTCATTTGACGAACAAAATGAAGCTTTTCATTTGTATCCAAACATTGAACAATTTTATCACCATTAAGAATGGCATTCGATGACATTCGTTCAAATATTTGATCAGGAACTTTTAAATATTGTGGTTTAAATCGTTGTATATAATTATTTAGTAATGATTCATTATTTTCTTCGTCTTCTTCTTCTTCTTTCTTATTTTGTTGTTTGTTATTATCACTTACTATATTTGATAATTCATTATTTGATTGATTATTTCTTGTCGTCGTTGTTGTCGTCTTTTTCTTCTTTGAATTTCTTTGAGATATTGATAATTGACTAAATGATCGATTAAAATTAATATCATCTTTATTTAATTCTTGGTGTTTACGTTTATTTCCTAATCTTATTTCTTGTTGATTATTATTATTTTCTGAACATGTCTAAATATAATGAATTAGTATAGACAGAAAATTAATACTAATTACCAAAAAAATGAATTATGATCATACTTGAATCCGTACTTGTTTTTTCCCTTCTGAATCGTAATTGTCACCATTGGTAAGAATGACATCTTGTTCCATATGATTTGTATTATTATTATTATTATTATTATTATTATTTATTTTTTGTTGTTGACGACTTATTCGTCTTCTCTTATGTTATTCTTTTCGATTATCATGACACTTTTGTTTCTTCTTCTGTTTCTCCTTGTTCTTAGAGTTAGCCAAGTTTTGTTCTTTTCCAGTGAAGACTTGTGTTGGTGAAATTAATTCATGCCAACAACCTTGAGCATCTTGAATTCGAGTTTTTAATGTTTGTTGATTATTACTGGTATACATAGTTATGATAGATATTTATATCTACAAGAAAAAGAAGATGATTGATTAAGCAAGTTACTTAATACAAAATACTTGGTAGAACAAGAAACTAAACTAAATAATAGAATAATGAAGCTACTGATCTATATACGTATAGAATTAAAAGAAAACAGAAAGATACAATGAAACAAAAGAAAAATAAGAAGTAAATATATCTATCATGTCTTTTATTTTGCGTGTCATCATTTAGTGTTAGAAGAATCTATTTCGACAACTAATGATCACAAGATTATTAAAAACTCCTCTAGCTTACATGATAAATATATCATGGAAAGTTTTTGTTTTATACAGAGGCCCTTTAGCATTACCCAGGAAACACCACGAGGAGGCGGGCTTTACTTGTTTCCCAGAAACAAAAGAAAAGAAACAATATGTGCATCCTTTTTGTTTTGTTTTGTTTTTTTTTGTTGGGTCTAATATACATTTTTATTTACAAACTAAGTCATACACATTCACAAAATTCATATGACACACAGAAACAAAAAGAAAAAAAAAGACTATATACCTAGGTCTGACCAAAAGTTCCCAGATTACCATTGGCAATTTTGTAAACCAATTAATATCGAAGAGTGTTGTGCATGGATAAATAGTGGAATGTCTTATCTGTAATAGTATATATAGTAAAGCTCTTTTGGACTTAATTATAGTATTTTTTTCGATAAACTTTAATTCGAACTAAAAAAAATTTTCAAAAATGGACAATGAATACAATCGATACTATATAAAAATTCGAACTATTTTCGGGATAAATCCAAAGACAATTCACGAAGAACTTGCAATAGCTTTAGGACCCAATGCTCCATCATATCCAACAGTTACAGAGTGGGCAAAGCGTTTCCGTGAAGGAAGAGAAGATGTCAATGATGATCCTCGATCTAGGCGTCCAGTATCCGAGCTGACAGATGAAAATATTGAACTAGTACGAGAGGTTATCACCAATGATCCACATTCAACTTATGATGATATTATAGCTGAGACATTTCTCTCTCATGGTACAATAGAACGAATTATCCACGATTGTCTTCAGATGAAAAAAATTACATCATAATGGGTACCCCATCAACTGACTGATGAACAAAAGCAAGAACGTGTTAAACTTTGTCGTGAAAATTTGGCGAAATTCCGTGATGGTTCTTACCGATTATGTGATATTAAAACAGGTAATGAGACGTGGATTTACCATAGGCAGATTCATCGCAAGTCAACAAACGCAAGCTGGGTTGGCGAAGATGAATCACCAACTACTATTGTTCGTCGAGGTAAATTTGAACCAAAAAATTTATTTTCTGTTTTCTTTAAATCAAATAGTCCTGTTCTTATAGATGCTGTTGACGAAGGCAAGACTATGGATCACAATTATTATATTGAAAATTGCCTCAAACCTGTCGTGAAGGAAATATGGAAACAAAGAAAGTCAGCAGGTACAAAAGGTACAAAATTGCTCTAAGACAATGCTCAACCCCATGTTCAATCCGATGTTATTAATTATTTAACAGAACAACATATCAATATAATGTCGCATCCACCATATTCACCTGATCTTGCACCATGTGATTATTGGCTAAATGATTACATCAAACGTAATTTAACTGATCAACCAGATGAAAAATCATTGGCTCGTGTGGTATCCAAGGTGATGAAAATAATTCCAAAAGAAGAATTTAAAAAAACTTTTGACAAACTATTAGAAAGGATGGAACTTTGTATAAATAACCATGGGGATTATTTTGAACATTTAATAAAATAAAACTCGAACTTTTTCTTTTTCTTTAATTTTTTTTTAAATTGCAGAACTTTTGGTCAGACCTAAGTACCTTTTCATAAATCCTAATGGGTATTATGAGTAGGATTGTACCCATGTATATACCTTTTCATGAATCTAAATGGGTTTTATCATAGGTAGATGCCTGTCAGTATATGTTCTCATGTACTCAAGGTAATGTTGGTGGAAATAAAAAAACCCGTTTATATACCCTTTTCCACATTCATTCTAAGGTATATGTATTGCAAATACCCTTCTATAGAACCATTGGGAAACTTTATGAATGGGTTTATGTCTTACATAAACGTTTTTTTAAGGTTTATGAAAATGCAACGTATAACAATCCCTTATAGGGTTGGTGAAAGTTATGAATCGTTTTATAAACCTATAGTTACCCGTAGATGATTATGATGAACCGTTCCATATACTCTTTTTTGGAGGTTTTGTATAGGGTTTACAATGCTCTCATAAACGGCATACAAGGGTTTGTTATACGTTGCACTTTTATAAACCTTTTAAAGGTTTCTTATTGTGCGGAGATTTTTTTAGTGCATCCTTACACCCCGCTTTAAATATTGTGTGAAATTAGGTATTGTATATATGGTTTGTCTTTCTGATAGATCATTCATGACAATGCTTTATGCCACTTGATAAGATTCTTTGCAACTTCAAAATACCTCTAGGTTATCTTGATAGCTATACTCACCCTCGAGATATTTTACTCTAGATGTGACGTTTAAATCGATCTGAGATTGAACGCTGACATATACATTAGAGAAAAAAGAGAAAGAATAGACGCATACACACAATTAGAACAGAACAGAAAAGACAAAAAAGAATTGTTAGAACATTCCATAACACTAATGTATGTATATGAAGAAAGAAACAAGGATGTATGAAGGCTAAATCCGTAACAGCTATTTTCTGTACTCAAACATTGATATTGATGTATCAATTTCTTCATAGTCTTCCTTATCCCAAAAATTAGGGTCGCCACAATTACGATAGTTATGTAAATTTCGTACATATACATCAAGTATATCACTACTGAGAGCATCATATGTAGCATATGATTGTGGATCTTTTCTTAGTCCTTGGCGAATAGCTCTTTCACATGGTAAAATCTGATTTATATCCGAATAGATGAGCATAGGATAAAGACCATCAATACACCATCTTTTCGTGTAATTAAATAATTCTACCACGAAAACGTATTTATCAGCAAGATTTCGAAGTAAGCGACCATCACAAATGTAAATGCCTTCATGTGTTGGATCGAATGATTTTAAGTTGTTTTGGCATTGTCTTGTAAGACGAGTTCTATTATCTCGGATGAAATTGTGACAATCGGTTCTTCCTAACATGGCTTGATGACCATTTCGTATGTCGAACATGTAAATTCTTTGTTGAGGACAGCAAGTCCATAAAGTTCTAAGCATATTATTATGTTTACGATAAGTATCTCGTGAGTTAAATAAAGAATAAATTGATTCCAGTGTTTGTTTGATTCGAGAAATATCATTCTTTATTTTACTTCTTAATACAAGTTTTTGTTGATTAAATATGTTATGTTGTAATGAAATCGATGGTAATTTATTGCTGGATAATGTGAGTACGTTAATGAATATTAAAATAAGTGAAATAAAATAATACCGTATTATCGTCATCGTTGAGTTAAAAAAGTATCTTAAAGAAACGATGGATATGTTAGATTTTGAGATGTGTAGAATATATATGAAGCTAGCGATTTATGCAACGTTTTATGCTGTCGTCTCTGTTGTGATGCATAATGCGATACAAAGTATAATATGGTTGACTGATATGTATATTATTTTCCGTTCTCCTCTATGACAAAGATTTTTTTCTTCCCGTCTCTTTTTTTCTCTTTTCTGGATAGAATAACATACCAAAGAGCTATTTGCAAGAACTCGATGATCAGAAACGCAATTCATGTTGTGCTCTTATTATACAATAAAGGACAACAAAAGAAAGTTATATTGCCGAATTTTTGCTGTTGATTATTGGTTTCGATTGTTTATGTTCTCACTCGATACTTCGCCCTTTGGAAACATATCTAGTAGAAAAGCGTACATCTCAGTAGATTGTATTCCATAATAGTTTCAGATGATAGCTGGACTACAAAAATTAGAAAAAAAAAGTGAGATATCTATTGATAAGCAATAATTAAATAAAATATATTTTTAATAAACCATTTTTACTACTGTAATATTTAATCATCATGCTCAGAATTGAATGAGAAAACGATTGATTGAAATCTTTTGTAAGTCAATATTCATCTTGTGAATAATAAGAAGAGAAAATGTCGAACACAAATAATTTGACACAATTAATATTGGGTATAAAAAGTAACACATACAGTGAGAAACAGCCTTCTAAAACGCAAAAAAAAACCGTTTAACACGTCTCGCAGCATTTTGAAGAAGAAAGACTTTTGAAAAGTCGCTATGATATCAAAATAGATGGCTCTCGAAGATGAAATCTTCAAAATAGATCTTAACGTTGATATGAAGATGAATCACTAATTTTTAGTATACGAGAAAAATATTTACTGTACCTTCCATTTGAGTCAACTATAAATGTTATTGCGTATTTTATGATTATATTAAAATAAAAAAGTATTATTTTAAATATTCTATAACACGTCAAAAGAACACAAAGGTCTAATTTATTATCATAACAAAGTTGTCATTTCATTGAAGGGATGATTTTTTAAAAGTCTTATTAATATTCAAAATAGTGCTGCATTAACTTCCTTTTAATATGAATGCGTTTGTGCATTTTCAACTTTACCATTTTTTTCTGAATTTATCATTTTTGTCTTTTTAATTTTAGATTTTTTGTTTTTATTTTATAGAGAAACATAAAATCTTCTTTTTGATAACAATGGTTACTAATACCTTGAACTTTTCTGCAAATGTTACATCAGATAATGGCAGCCTTAAATCATCACCTGAGTATGATATCCTTGTATAAAGGTAGTATGTTGATAGTGGATTCTTATCGCGTAAAGTCACTTTTATATTATTAACCTTCGTAACACACATTTTTATCATATCCAAGTAAAAAAAAGAACGTAAGTTATGATGGTTTCTTCATTTGTGCATTACTATGGTTTAATAGTTTAACTCTGAATAAAAGATAAATACTACTATTGGTAAAAATCAATCTTTTAGAGATTTTTGACATTTAAATATGATTTCATTATTTGAAAATAATCATGTTCATTTTCTAATTAAATGTAATAATTAATATGTCAAGTAATTTACTATAATAGGTAAGTCGACAAAAAGATCTTACAAGGAACTCTATCCAGGTGTAACGCTCCGATTTAGTACATTCACATCTCATTTGATAGAGTATAGTGAGGTAGTCAAAAACTAAAAATATTATCGACCATCAACTCTTCCTCGAGACATAATAGTCATTTTACTGAAGTTTTAGCCGATGGTATGGTACCTACCAACAACTTTAATGACGATGTTTCGACTTGAAATCTTGTCCATAGTGAGGCCCACTTGTAACTAGAATATCCTGAAAAATTCAAGTCAAAAGAATGTTTCCTTCGTGAAATATTGAATTTTCAAAAAAAAAACATGACATGCTCCAATCTTTTCGTAGAATTTTTGTAGAATATGAGTAATATTGAAAGTTCGCTATTTCAAGATAGGAAACATTCTTTTGACCTGAAATTTTCAGGATATTCTAGTTATAGGTTGGCCTACTTGTAGATAAGATTTCCGGTCGAAACATCATCAATACCATAGGCTAGAACTTCGGTAAAATGACTACTGTGTCTCGAAGAAGACTTGGTGGTCAATAATATTTTTAGTTTTTGACTATCTCATTATACTCTATCGAATGATATATGAATGAACGGAATCGGAGTTTCACACCTAGATAGACTTCTCGTTAGTGAGAATACAAAGTAACTGCATCCTTACTGAAATTCTATATTAGCAAATTATATGAGAAGAATCTTTCGTTAAGTTGTGTTTAGAAGAAGTATCTTACCATATTATGGAAAAGTGTACTCGTGAAACACTGTTTATTGTTTAAGCGAGTAGATACAATTTTGACATTTATCTGAAGAGAGCATAGACAGCAATACAATTTGACACTTTCCGAAAATCGAAACATCTTTTTAAAATTATTTCGTATTATGTACAGAGACGGTTTAGTATCCGTCATAAATGCCAATTCGATTCCAAAGAAATCTTACGGTTATTTTTCCCCAAAACCTGAGTACATACAGTGTGAAATACATTCGACAAAGGTTTTTTTACTAAAACAAGTCAAAAAAAAAGACAGTTCTATTATTTTTAGTCAGTAATTAATGCATTTGATACTTTATTTTCACCTAAAGAATATACCTACTTATGATTTTTTACGATTTGAGATTCAATTTCTATTTTTTTAGATGTATTGTCAATTACTATCTACATATTAATATTCTGAACAGTAACTCTTGCTATATATTAATAAGAACAACTATGAAACTAGTGTTTTTATTGACATTATTTTATCTGATGACAATCAACTTACTTGGATATGCAAATGATGATCATATCGGTGATCTTGTGTATGAGCCAGACTTACTTTGGAAAAAGCAAGATGTCACTTTAGCATTTGTGAATGGTGATCAAGAAAAACAGTTATACTTTCGTCGAATATATTTTCAATGGTTTTTACCTACTCATATTCACTTCAAAGAAGTTCCGCTTAATCACGGTGCTGATATTCGAGTAGGATTTCGACTAGACAATCAACAATCATGGTCTCTTATTGGATCTAGTTCAGCTCTTTTTTCGTATGATGTGAAATCTAGTAAAATATTTCGTGACTATCAGAAAACTCATGGTCCATCTCTGACCGTTGCATTCAACACAAAACGTAAGATATCGCATGAAGGAGGACATTCTATTGGATTCAATCATGAATATTTTCATGCGCTGGCAAATATATCG